TAGAGTGAAGACATGTGGACAGTTTGTCCTCCAGTAGAGTGAAGACATGTGGACAGTTTGTCCTCCAGCAGTCTGAGTCTATAGCAGCAGAACTAAGGAATATCTCAGGAAACCTAAGTCTAACTATAGGATTTATGAAAAAAATAACTTAAAACATGTTGAATCTAAATTTGTGTGTTTCAGGTTCTGCCCCAGATCCAAGTGCAGGATGGAGGACCACATGGAGCTGGAGTTCTGGGTAAGAGGACGAATTGGCTGTGAAGATATTTAACTGTTTTAACTAATCAAAGATGCTCCAATATTTACTCAGAAGTCCTGAAACAAGATTTTATGAGGTCTTTAAGAAGCACACTTTTACCCTTCATCAGGTGTTTGTTCTGTCCATTTCAAGAGTTCTGGAAGCATCATGAAAAAGTAGGCCCCTCATAGTCCCCAAATCACAAACTAGGATTTTTTACTTTGTGCATAACAGTGAATACAGATTGAAACAACGGTTTTTAGCCACTTCAGTAGAAATAGAACTGAATGTTAGTTTCTTCATCATCAGTGACTTTTTAAATAAAAGAGAAGAAGAAAAACAGAAGAAAAAGAAGAAATGTAATGGTGAAGATTGAAAGAGAGATATGTGAAATATAAACCAAGACAACACACTTGACATCTGTCTGCACACCTGTAGAAATGGAGAAAACAGAAACACAGCAACAGATAACGTTTATATCATAATAATTATAACTTTTATGAAATATCTATACATATATGGGTCCAGCCCTGTGGAGATCCTATAAGYACAGGAGCTCCACAGGGCTGTGTTCTTTCCCCTCTGCTCGTCTCCCTGTACACTAACTGTTGCACCTCCAGCTATGACTCTGTAAAACTTATGAAGTTTGTGGACGACACCACCCTCATCAGGCTCATCTCAGATGGTGATGAGTCTGCCTACAGGTGGGAGGTGGACCGACTGGTGACCTGGTGCAGCAGCAACAACCTGGAGCTCAATGCCCAGAAAACAGTGGAGATGATTGTGGACTTCAGAAAGGCCACAGCCCCTCTGCCCACCCTCACCCTTAACGAGACCCCCATCACCACTGTARCCTTCAACCAGTTCCTCAGCACCACCATCACCCAGGACCTCAAGTGGGAGCTGACCATCAGTTCCCTCATCAAGAAGGCCCAGCAGAGGATGGACTTCCTGCCACAGCTGAAGAAAGCTAAGCTGCCGGCCATGTTGATGGTGCAATTCTACACAGCCTTCATGGAGTCATCCTCAGCTCCTCCATCATGGTGTGGTATGCCGGGGCCACTGCAGGGACATTTACAGACTGCAGAGCGTTGTGAGCTCTGCTGAGAAGGTGATTGTCTGCAGCCTTCCATCTCTCCAGGACCTGTACGTCTCCAAGGCTGTGAGGTGAGCAGGTGGGATCACAGCTGATCCTTCTCACCCTGCAGACTGTTCAGACCACTCCTCTCAGGCAGAAGGTTTCGCTCCCTTCAGACCAGAACATCCCACCATAAGAACAGTTTCTTCCCCTCTGCTGTCAGACTCTTGAACATTTAGAACCTTCAGAACATTTTAGAACATTTAGAACACGTGACTCTAAAACTCTTCCTTGTTCAGTTTATTGCTGGTTTTTAAACAGCACAACTCTGACTATATTGTTTTTCTGGTCACTTTTATCACTGGATCTAACTGCACAACTCCAAATATATAGTCTGCTCTGATTACTATATTGACCTGTTGTACATATGTTTTATATATTTTATTATAGTTTTCCTTTATCCTTTTTTTATTATTTTTCTTCATTTGTTATATTTGATACCTATTGCACCTTTACACCGAAGCAAATTCGTAGTCTATGAATCCTGTTCATTGACAATGGCAATAAAACCGATTCTGATATAGATATACAGTACATATACACATCCTCATCCATACTTACATACACCCTCAATCACAAGTCAGAAACCCCAGAATCTGAACACCAGTTTGTGTGCAGGTGTGAGCATGCATGTATAAGATTTCTCCAATGGAATATTTCATAGTGATTGTGGAGACCCAAAGACCCGATCCCTGAGGGAGACCAGTGCCAGAGACCCCGAGAGTGACCCCAAGCACCGAGCCCCCAGGGGCACCAGTGCGGGAAGAACCGCACACCCACCCCTCAAAGGGGAACATAGGAGAGATCCAGGAGAGCCTCCCAGCGACCCCACTCAGTAAACCCCTGGGGCCAGCAGCAGCAAGCTCACAGGCCCCGCCAGCACCCGCTGCGCCAGAGCAGATCCAGGCATGTACACAGAGGCCCGGGCCCCCAGGGTGCACCACCCCCAGGCCAAGGCCCGATAGGGCCAGAGGACTCAGGCCCCACCAAGCAGGCACCGGGCCGACCCAGCACACGCCCAAGTGCCCAGCCCCAGACACCRAGGGCCACCAGTGCACAGAGGCACAGCTCACCAGAGGGCAGAATGGCAGAGGGACAAAGCCCACCACCAGCAGTGGGCCCCCAAGTGAACCAGAGGAGGGGGCAACCCAAGACCCAGCCTGACACACATCCAATCATACACAGACACAATCCCACCATCCCACCCTCATCCTCACACCCACTGATTCAAAGACACACAAGGTGGACGCCATACTCCACTCACGCTCCCCCATACTCTATACCCCCCAGGTCCAAGACATGCACCCGCCCCTGACGGAGGGCAGCCCACATCCAGACCCAGGAGTTAGATCCATTCATTCTGGGGTGGAAAGGAGCAGACTGCCAAGGCCCGGCCCGGACCACACCAGGCTAACCGGTCAGCCCCCCAGCCATAGTGAAGCCATGCCCCCAACCACCCCTACACACTGCCAATGGCCAAGCGCATACTCCCAACTGACCACCCACCAGACTCTGGCAGCCACCCCAGTCAGTGGACCAACCACGGTAACCAGGAGCCATACCCTGGGAATCCAAATGATTCCAGGGAAGCCGGAGCACCAGCCTCATCCCCAGCACCCCCCCAGGCCCAGAGCCCACCCACAACCCAGGCTCCCACCAGACGGTCCGCCCCTCCTCCGGACCCCATCCCTAAATGGCAGTTGGGGAACAGGGTAGTGAAAAAGACCCTCACACACACACACGCACCTCCACCCTCAGATGTGCTGTTGATGCGTGTTATTCTATARTGCAATTAAAAAGGGGAAAAATCACATCAGCCCAAATAACGCACAAGGCCCGATCCTAGGACCCCCACCCACTCTATGTGATTATGCCAATCAAAGGAGCCCAGAGAGATTGATCTGATGTGGCAGCAGAGACTGTTTCAAGACTAATATGATCCAACAAAAATATTTCTACACTGGTTAATACTAAGAGTATTTTTATTTTTCCAATTCAACAATATGGTTTTCTTTGCGATACATAAGGCAGTGAAAATGATATGAGACATGTTTTTGTCTAAGGTGACATCATCTAAGTTACCCAATAAGCAAACAGATGGAGAAAGTGGAATATTACATTTCAGACATTTAGAAAAGTCTTCACAGATTCGGCCCCAGAACCTCTGAACAGGTGGACAGGACCAGAATGCATGCATGTAATTGTCAGGTATATTGCCTGTGCATTGTGCGCAGGTGTTAGATTATATAAATCCCATCTTGAACATTCACTGACCTGTATAATGTACTCTATAGAGGAGTTTATTTTGTTTTAATTGTAAATTTGAGTTTCTAGTCATTTAAGATTGAAATAACTTGATAATAAACCAATACAACACATAAAACATGTCAGACATATTAGAGACATAGAGACATATCAGACACATATTTGTATTTATTTATTTAAAAGGGGAYAGTGCAATTTAATAAAACATATGACAATTCATAAGTTAAAAAATCCAGAAGTAGCCCAACGGATAATTTTCATCTGTAGTCCCCTGGCCATGATGTAAAAAAGCAGCATGATAAAAAATAAAATACAGTAATGACACAATAAATAAGAGCAGGACATTAAATTAATCATAAAAAACACAATACAACACAATAAATACAGCTTATATTCAGTGTTGGCAGATATAAGTGTCAACAATCATTTTTAAGCTGCTTAGTGAAAGACCTATAGATTGATATCTATAATTTCATCTGGTTGTGAGTTCCATTCCCGAGCA